CACTAAAAAACAAACTTTTTTCAGGATGCACTGACTGAACTTGCTGGTTTCGTTAGCGACACTGTAGGAATGAATGGTGACCAGCAAACATCATGACAGAAGATTAACGAGGCAATCTTGGATATAATGAAAAACAAATTCTAAATCTTTTTGACATTTCCTACATCTTTGCATAATTGTGTGTTTGAATTATACATGACACTGACTATAGCATCTATGTAAATTTAGACATTATAAATGCAACACGTTTGGCGGTTGAATTGACATCGGTTTTGCAGTGGTCAACGAGACAGCCATCACCATTGCTATTTGAAAAATGGTAAAGCCAGCAATATATAGGTACAAATAAACGATGAATTATTAATAGGCATTCATGGACAAAAAGCATTTTACGTAAATCTTCTATAGCATGTAATCATATTTTTGCAACACAATTTGTATATATTGGATCTTAAAACATATACCTTAAATTACGGCCATTTCAATATAAATACAATGCATATGCATTTAAAATTGGTAAGTTACATTATGTTAGTAGTTAATATACATAATATAAAGTTTTTTTATATTATAATCTTTCTGGTAGGTTTCACGTACTAAACAAATTAATCATGAACCTATCCATTCACATACTAATGTACATTTTGCAAATGAATCTAGAGCGGGCATTTCTGAAGTACAATAGCAAATTTTGTTTAAGATTTACGACTGGTGAATTGCTTGCTAAGTTTTAAAAAAGCAACAAAACAAATACAAGATTGACGCATGCGAATAACATGTTTTACTTTGAATTTGAATTTGCATTTTTTTTCTAAGAATTTGACATATAAATTACAACAGTTGTTTTTATAAACAAAAATATTGTTATTATAAATGATATGAAGGAATATTGCGTCAATTACAAAATGCTGTATTATCTGGCCTTAAAATATATTCTTTTGTTATTTCTAATCACTTTATTTGTTTTTCCTTTATTAATTTCTAATCAGGTTCTCATCGACTGTTTGTTAATGTCTGCAGAATATGGAGTAATTTGCGTTTCGAGACTTAGATCTTTGTTAAGTCTGTCAACGTGGATACCATGCAGTATTTCCTTTATTCATACTTTGACATTTTATGGTCCTATCCGGGAATTTTCATTTTCCATCTTTTTGTTCATGTTTCCTTTCCGGGAGTTTTCATTGCACGTTTCGTTTCATACAGATGAACAGTTGGATACAAATAAGATATTTTGTGATCTAAGAAGCATATTACTCTAAAAATACCAGTTTTTCAAAAATGTTTCGTGAAAGGGAGTTGTGGTGGTATGATACCATTTATTTAAAAAGTGATAAATGTAATCTATAAATCCAGAAAAAAGGAAGAACTATTCATATTACCAGACAAAATATTTCCTTATTTCCCTAATTTGAAGAAAAAATCAATTACTTGATATTTCTGAAGATTCAAGTAGTAAGTCATTAAGTTAGTAAGTAAGAAAGTAAGTACGTAAGTACGTAAGTATGACATTTATTTAAGTTTTTGTTTTGTTTTGTTTTGGGTTTTACGTCACATCGACACAGTATAGGTCATATCGCGACGTTCCAGCTTTCCTGGTGGAGGAAGACCTCAGGTGCCCTTCCGTGCATTATTTCAGGCACGAACGTGCACCTGAGTAGAACCACCGACGTTCCGTAAGCTAGCTGGATAGCTTCCTCACATGAAATAATCCCAAGTCCCTGTCGGGATTCGAACCAACAGCGGTGAGGGGCAAGTGGTTTGAAGTAAACGACCTTAACCACTCGGCCACGGACGCCCCTAATTAAGTAAGTAAGTACGTAAGTAAGTTAGTAAGTAAGTAAGTAAGTAAGTAAGTAAGTAAGTAAGTAAGTAAGTAAGTAAGTAAGTAAGTAAGTAAGTAAGTAAGTAGGTAAGTAAGTAAGTATTTTATTATAGTGACATATGCAATATGTTACAAATATACAAAAATTTAGATGTATTGAATCCAATGGACCTATAAGCCACCAAAATCTAGACATCATAATGAATTCCGATATTGATCATTGTACTGATTACATAGACGATAGATATATAAAAATATATATAGTGAGATATAAATTTACATTAAATTTTACAAATTTAAAGAAATTCGTATGACAAATTATGTCATATTTCGAGATTTTCTTCTATGAAGATATGAATTAACAATATACATGTATTTCGTCATTTTCGCAGATACCTGTTTTAAGGATATGCTGATCTGTCAGATGTATGTATAGAAATGTATTCATCATTTAGGATTATTTTGCCTAGAATATTGTTCTTTTTTGGTTATAATAATCACACTAAATCAAAAGTGTCTTTCATCCTCGAAGACATTCTATGAGCAACTCTACAAAGCCTTTCTTCTATTCGCTCTCCTATATATCGACCTGTTTCATTTCTTAAAGGTAAAATTCCAAATCTTAAATGACTGAATAGCGAACGTTCATATTTCTTTTAGGTTTAAGAGCACGTAGTCTTAAAATTAATGTACATTCTTGAGAGATAGATACTTCGTATTTAGCGATACTTAGAATGAAAATAAAAGTGCGTTATAATTGTTGCACTAAAAAGGTTTGTTAACTACCTTATCACAGGAAGAAGTTTCTTTATTTTGTTCTGTGATTAGTGACAAATTCACGTAGCGTGTTAGAATCAACGATAATTCATGATACATTTTAAAGACATATAAACAACAACTCACTTCTTCATAAGTCAAAATGCTTTCAGCGACACATCTCCTCAAGTGGCATTTCTGTCAGATGACATTAAAGAAAACACCTATGCTTTCATGACTGCCATAAATACTTTTAAGAAACGTCAATGTCTTTGCTTTAAAGTAAAGACCGTTAGTGTGTCACTTTCATAACAAGAGACAAAGAGCCTTGACGTTTTGTTATCAAAACATAAACCAATGGGCTTTGTTAAGCCATCTTGTCCTGTCAATAGTTCTACCTGATCCTTCCCGTCAGTTGACATTAAAAGTACATTGTTTGACGTAAAAAACCCAGCACAGATTTGACCTTTATACATCTCACAAATACGACCATGACCAGAAAAAAGTTTCTTATCTACAGGAATGGGTTTCAACCTTCGGTTTTTATCAAAGAGAAAGATACCTTCATATATGTCACTCACAAATATTTCCATTTTAAGGCTTGAGATTATTACATGTGAAGGGCATTGAATCACATCAAAGTACGATGCTAACAATTGTCCAGAAATAGTATATACTTCCAGATGACCGACTTCTTCATCTGTTCGTTCCTTTGATCCGCCACAGCAAACATAAATCATCCCGTCATTGTATGCAATACCCCGACATCTATCGCCGACTTCAAAGGATTGTTGAAGCTTTATTGGTTCTTTCTGGGAGATAAACTGAACTGTCTTATCATTTATTAGAGTAACGGCCAGCATTGAAGAGTCGATCTGACAAATACTATAGGGATTGTCAGTGACTTTCAGCGAAGATATGATCTGGAAACAATCATTCATTTTCTTAACATATTTATTATTGTAATCTGCCACAAATATGCACCCGTCTTCAGACATGCACATGTCAAATATGAGGCACGATTCCTTGTCAACTTTTGTTCTCATATTAATAACAGAACATTTTTCTGCTTCAATTAATGGAAGATGAAGAACATTTCCAATTAAGTTACACTCCGAATCAGTCACATATTTATTGGGTTCCAACCGTAATATGCTGCCTGTTTTCCTCGACCCTCGTAAGTCTTCGAAACAATCGTTTGCATCTTTTCTTCTCTCGTTAACACGTTTAATCTGCACATATTTCTCGGATTCGTTTTCATTTTTAGCGGCACTGATCTTTTGCATATTTTCCTGTAGTGAAGCGATATTTGCATCAACTTCTTTCATGCATGACTCTATATGTTGCAGTTTTATTTGAAAGCTGACATCAACTTCTTGAAGAAGTTCCATTTCCATCTTGTCCAGATGGTCGTTGATTTTCTTCCTTTCTGATTTTATTTCTTTGATCAATTGGCTTTTTTCTTTCTTCGCATTTTCTAGTTCTTCCTGCTTGTTTTGTTTTAATGATTTGAAACGAGACTGTAGTGTGTTTAGTTCAGCTTCAAGAAGGTTTAGTTTTTCGGAGGTTTTAGTTTTACAAGCTAAGTCTGGTACGTAATTCATACCTTTGCAGCCACTGCAATGAAATAGACAAGACAAAAGATGTAATCAAAATGAAATGGCAAAATACCACATCTGTGCTAAAAATTACCTGTTAAAATTTTATGACTTCATTACTACTTTACAAAATATGACATTAATATAATATCAAATTAATGTCACAAGACAGTTAATAAATAAATTTGTTTTGTTAACTAGAATCTCCCGTTTTGTTTTAAAATGAATTGAATATTCATATTTCAGTTAAATACCAAAATGGCTTTAAGAATCAATTAAATTTTGTCCAAATTAATAATTTTAAACAAAAACATTGGAGTGTTATATCCCACTTACAAATGACACTGGTGTTTTTCAAATGATATACAGATGATTTTATATTGCATTCAACCTTAATTCTATAACTTATCTAAACAACAAAAAACATGGCGAATGGCGATTTTTGCCAACTTCCAGATATTTAAAATGACTGATTAACTTCGAGTCAAAACGTACAAGTTGATAGACTCTGAAAAAAAATATTGCAATGTATCTGGATCAATGATATAATATACTACAAATTCATTTTGACGACAAAAAGAGGCAATTATTTTATTCTTTATTTAATTGTTTTGGTTAGGCTTTACGCCTTGTCAATTCATCGAAACCGAAAGTAGATTTTTTTTTCAGCATGTGTTCAATGGCTGTACAAGTTCAGCAGCCAAAATTATCTGACGACAAAATGGGCTATTAATCTATTAAACACTTGTTTTTCCTTTGCTGGGTCTTACGTCAAAATAATTTCCTTGTCAATGCACTGAAACCGAAAGTAGAATTTTTCAAACCTGTGTTCAATGGTCATACACGTTGAGCAGCCAACCTTATCATGACCAGGACAGTAGACATCTATCAATTTGCCTCCGTGTCTCTCACATCTCTGACTTGGTATTTCCTGCTTTTTCCCGCTCAGCTGTTTTACCGTGTCTAGTAACTGATGTCCTCTCATTACTGAAAACTTATTGTGATCACCTAAACATTTTTTACACAGATTTTCATCACATTCCACACAGTGTTTGATAGCAGCCACATTCTTCCCCTCTTTAGAACAAGGAGAACACGGAAAATCATGTTCTATATCCGATCCTTGATACAGAGATTGGTTTAATTTACGGCCGTCTACGGCCATATTTTCTGCTTAAGTTTACCTTCCTTGTACGGTTGTCATAGGCGTAACATGATTTACCATACTATCAAGTTTAAACTAATATTACGAAGGTAGTATGGTATAGTTTTTTCCGTTTATACGTTCATCTTAAATGTTCGTACATTTCTAAAAAGGAAAAGTCATTGATTCAATTTAATATGTATTTAAAAAAATCAATAGATAACGTAGAGAAGCAATGAGGTTGATTGAGACAAAAACAAAAGAGGTTTCATGCTTAATGAACACATTGAAAATGATTTAAAATAACTTTTCATGATCATGAATAAACACTGTTAAACAATTAATTAAATTTTGATTTTGTTAAAAATTATCTTTATAAAAGCTAGTGTTCATGTAAATGTTAGGGGGTATAAAAATTTATTTTATTGATTTAGACATAATATTTTATTATATACAATGAATAAAAAACTGTATCAAAGTATTTTAAGGTTGCCATGGTGTTTGTTTTGTGCTAATAGTTTATAATTAACATTTAAGAGACATAGGTTATTTAACGTGAATTATTAAACAAACGATTACTTTACTGATATCTATCTCGGAGATAGTGTCACATTTTGTTTATTTTCTATTTATTGAAGAGGAAATGATTTCAAAAGTTTTTAAATAAGATGAGTGATCAATTTTTAATATATCTCTTTGATTCTTACATCAAATACTTTTTTTAATATATCAGTCGCGATTGAAATTCAATGTGGTGTTATATCACATCTTTGAAATGTTATACATGTATTTAAAACTATGTATTTCTTTATTTTACACAGACTTATGACCTTTTTGGATATGTTGAAAAGGGGTGTAAAGGACGCCTTTTCAAATGATTTCAATAGCACCAAGAGTTATTAAACTGATAACAAACACATTTTAGATATTTTCAACAGACGACAATGGGTGGTTGCTATAGTTCGGATCTAAACAAACCGCCAGATGTTGGTGAACCTGCCAAGCGAGCTAAACAATCGAATATAGTTGTTCTTATTGAGCTGTTTGATTTAGAAGATGACGATGCCGTTCTTAAAGAGCCCACCAAATTTACTTACAGAGGTCGGGGTTCCAACAGAGTGGGGATCATGCAGGTACCTTCTATTTTAATTTAATGACTCAAACAATATATCTCTGGTTGAAATTTTTTGACAAACTGAATATAAGCAATGATAACATGACCTTACAACGCAATAAACGCCTTAACATGGTGACATCTCTGAGATCTAAATACATTATTGCAACAGCCCCTGTTTTTGAAGCAGTGTATCGATGCGGTTTAACTTATATACTTATGCCATATGACCAATCAGCGGAAGCTTCAAAATTCAATTCAATATTTTACAAGTTCATGTTAATTGTTGAATTCTGCCAAAGCCGGTGCTAGCGGGCGTGGACGGTAGCTTCCAATCACCACTTCCGTCTATTAACAGACTCAATCAAACCAGGCCTGCAACATGTTTAATTTTGCCGTGTTGTCACTTTTTGTCTGTTAAAAATCTTTCTGCTGAAAGTTTCATGCAGGCAAAACT